ACACCCCTAGCTTAAATCATCTCAGAAAATGGGTGGATATTATTTGTTTTATAGGCAACTCATAAAAGTTGTGTTTTAACTTGCTTTCACACAGAAAAAATTATTAATTCAACGATGGGAAAAGTTACAACACACAAAAATAGATTCAATATAGCGCAAAAAAATATATATATATAATGTGTGAGACCTACTGAGTTTATTTTACTAATATTCTTTTTCTCTGTCCTTCTTCATATTTTCTAATGACCAACATCTTTGTTCGTTTCTCCCACTTCACAAAGCAAAAACAGAGATTTAAAAAAAAAAAACTTAAAAAAAAATGTTGTTTTCTTCCATTTTGACCGAATCCAGACTGATGTTTTTGTTGTTTTCAGTTCTTCACTTTTTGAGGAGTTATATTTCTGATCATTATTGAACAGTTTTGTTTAAATGGAGTGACTTTCTAAAATTCTTTCTAAAATTAAACACTTGAGACATTTGTTGTGCCGCTGAAACAAATTAAAAGGAAATAAAAGAGTGATGAGTTTGTGGCATCAGTCTTTACAAAAATATTATTTTATGCCCAACACTTATGCACAAAGCAAACAAATCAGTGAACTTGTATAGTTGTTGTTTGTAAGCCTAAAAACTTTGCAGCGGCCTTGCCTCTGAACTCATCTCTTTGTGTCCAAGACCATTTCAGTTTCCACTAGTTTTATTTTTTAATTCAGTGAATAAACATTTGAAGGGGCCACTGCTGAATTGACAAACCATCCCTCTTTCTTTTTACACATTTCACTGTAAAATTGAAAGGTTCAGACAACTGGCTAAAGAAAAACAGATTTCCTCTAATGTTAATAGAACAAGGTTGTGCATGAAGTTCAGGAGGGCAGCTGGAAGTCATTACCTCCACTCTGAATGGTGGCATTTTTGACAATTTTCTTATTCAGTCCATCAAAATAGTGTTTTGTGAGGATAAGAGGGTTTTTTTGTTTTTGTTTTTCAGGATAATTTGTAATCCTTTCCCAGAGCAAAGCGTCTTATATTTGTTAAAAAAAAAAAAAAAAATCTAAAAACACTTGAAGCCACAGCCGAATCTAAATCCAATTTAAAATTCAAGGTAGAAATTGTAGGGCGGCACGGTGGCGCAGTTGGTAGAGCTGCTGCCTCTCAGCGAGAAGATCGTTGAATCGATTCCCGGCCAGGGGCCTTTCTGGGTAGAGTTTGCATGTTCTCTCCGTGCATTTTCTCCAGGTACTCCAGTTTCCTCCCACAGACCAAAACCATGCATGTTGGTCTGATTGGTAACTCTAAATTGTCCCTAGGTTGTTTGTCTCGTTTGTCTCGATGTGTCCCTGTGATGGACTTGGACAGGGGTCTGCAATCTGCGGCTCTGGAGCCACAAGTGGCTCTTTGGTCCATCTACAGTGGCTCTTTCAAGCTTTGACCAAAATTAACATAAAACTGAATTTTATTGGTTGTTAAACTAAAATAAAAAAAGGTTATTTTAAGTCTTCCTGGCTTTTTTGTTGTTGATAATGATGTTGCAAATATGTGAATAATAGAACAATACAAAGAGTAAAGCACACTCACTTTGTTTTATCTCTTCAAAGTAGGATACGGTACTTAATTTTTCCACAATAAAAAATTTAATTACAAGCCTGCATAATTCATTGTTTAAAATTTTACAAAATTGTTAAAATCTATATTTTTCTTTTATTTCTTTACAACCATCCAGTCTTTTCTTTTGTCTTGAAATGCACAATCATCAAATGTTAAAAACCATTTGATATTTTTAGTTTTATAAAGTCATCTCTACTGGCCAAAAAAGCCCCAACAAATTTAAAGTGGTCCACGGGCCACCAGTTGATGATCAGATGTAGCAGGTTGTTGCAGCTCCAGACACATATAATTTAGTGAACAAAGGGGCATAAATGTCTCTTTTGATCATAAAGGTTGCAGACCCCGGCCCGTAGACTTGGACTTGTAGTCCAAAGGAAGAAGCGGCTAAAGATGATAGTTGAATGTGTGGTAGAAACTGTAACCAGTGACAAAAATGATCTGTTTCCAAGAAAGTAGGAAATCACACTATAAAACATATAAACGCAACACTTTTGTTTTTGCTCCCATTTTTCACGAATTTAACTCAAAGATCTAAAACTTTTTCTATGTACACAACAGGCCTTTATTTCTCAAATGTTCACAAATGTGTGTAAATCTGTGTTAGTAAGGACTTCTCCTTTGCCAAGATAATCCCTCCACCTCACAGACGTGTCATATCGAGGTGCTGGTTCGACAGCATGATTCTTATAGTCCAAGGCACACCTGTGCATTATTCATGCTGTTTAATCAGTGTCTTGATATGCCACATCTGTGAGGTGGATGGATTATCTCAGCAAAGAAGTGCTTACTAACCCAGATTTACACAAATATGTGAACAACATATGAGAGATGAAGGCCTGTTGTGTACATAGAAAAAGTCTTAAATCTTTTGAGTTAAATTCATGAAAAATGGGACCAAAAACAAGTGTTGCATTTATATTTTTGTTCAGTGTAATTAAACAAGTGTGAAAAGTGAGTATCGCCTGTCTTCCTGACTGTTAGTAAAATATCTCATGAACCAGTGGGTGGATTCTAGTGAAACTCAACCCATTAACATTTGGAGTCATTTCCATATCCAAATTAGTGCTAGCTGACTGCATACACTTGTTGAAAACTTTGGCACACAAGGCAGCAGGCAATATGCATTCCTTCAAGGAAGGATATTTTTTTATTTATTAAATATTCATGTTTTTATTTTTTTAAATTGAGCTTTCATCAAAGTGAGATGATCAGCAGTAAATTAACTGGTTTGTGATCAAACCATTTCCACTTTGTCGGAAAAAAAATTATTGTACGTTTTTTTCCTCTCTCGCTCTTGACGAAGATGGACACTCTCATTCCTTCTCCTGCCTCCCCTCCTGCTTTTGCTGTTTGTTTTTGTGAACCTTTTTCCGAGCCCCTTTTTGCATACCTTCCGAATTGTAAACTATGGATTTGTTCATCTGGTCTCTCAACGCAATTGTTCAAATTTTCTCACAAGAAGACAGGGTGAAGGAGAGCCCTCTTTTCTGAAACATAATTAGATTTATGATAACTGGATTTTGCTTTTTGGAGTTGATGGAAATCTGAATTGTCGACAAATTCGGAAACGTCAGCCGCTGTTTAAGCTGTCTGGAATGTGTGTGCTGGACTTGGCAACACTCAGACTGTGCAAACTATCTGTGGGCCTGTATCAGAGCTGAGCAGGACTGTGGCACTTTGTGGCAGTGTTCACGGACAGTTGGAAGGAACAGATCTTGAAGAAGTTGTAAGCCCGACTTCAGCCTATGTACTATAATTTCTGGACTATTGAGCGCACCTGAATATAAGCCGCGCCCGCTAAATTTAAAAAGAAAACTTAAATTTTGCATAAATAGGCCGCACTTGTCTACAAGCCGCAGGCGTTCCCATTATGATTATTATGACATTATATTTACATAGAAATATATATTTTTAAACATTTAATTTAATACGTACCGGTAACACGCACAAATACAGTAAATGTTTTTCTGACCAGTGCCTGTAACACAGCTGATGAATTTTTTTTTAAATACAGTAGTCTACTAGGAAGTCACTGATTGCCCCCCCCCCCCCCCCCCCAAAAAAAAAATAGAGAGATGTGTATTGGGCAGCTATGCGAGTGCCTAGGTGTAACAATGCTAAATGTTTTGGTGGCATGAAGCTTGTTAGGCCATAAAAAATAATTAAAAAAAAAATCCATAAATTAGCTGCAGCATTGTATAAGCCGCAGTGTTCAAAGTGTCCGAAAATTACGGTAATCACAATTTGGCTGTTTGGAGTCGCCATGAGATGTACTGGCGACCGTTAAAGACAGACACGGAAACTAAAGAGCTCGGCCTGATCCAAAACGACGTTGAAATCTGAATCTGGCTCTGGCCTTGGAAAGCTGACTATCTCAATTTCTCTTTGGATTATGGAAACAAGACGCTCGGATCCTCTCCTACACCACCACCTCACAGGGAGCCACAGCCCTGGTACACTTCAGTCTGTCCTTCAGACGGCTGTATGAAACAACATTTCACTGTACGTAACTGTACAACGACAATAAAGTTGATCCTGATCCGATTCTGATTTCAATTCAACATTCAAAGACCTGTCAGACGTCATCCTCTGCCTCTCTGATGCAGAATACGGCAGCACTTATGGTAGTGTGTGCCGTTACGGTTACTCTCATCCCATATTTCTCAGTCGAGAGCTTTCACTTATCGCTTAAGAAGATACGGACATCTGTCAGTTTTTAACAAAAATGTTCAGACTGGTAGTGAACACGTCAAAAATCCTACTCCAATTAATATAATAAAGGCTCAACATTACTTGAAAGAATGCACATCACCTGCTGCCTTTCATGCCAGAGCTTCAGTCTAAGATAATTTTACCTTTTTGAAATGACAGAAAATAATGTGCTCAGAGTAGGTTTTAGGAACAACTCTCAGCTACTACTGCCCCATATTTTAGCTCATTATCTGTAATACTGGCTGAGTTATATCCATTATCTGTCTGCCTTTAGGCAACAACCCCCACCACCACCAATTCCTTCTTTCAATAAGTGCTTTATGTAAAAGAAAAGTGCATTTATTCTTCTACGGTGACTCAAGTTATTCAACACAATGAGCATATGACAAATTTTTAAGAGAAAAACTGTTTTTTTATGAATAAAGTGTTATTTTTGTAGTTGCACTGCACACATGCACCGACAGTTTGGACAAAAAAAACAAGTTGTTTGCTTTACGTCAACATTACTATTAAGTCCTCTTTGTTTGATGGTTCCAATCATTCAAGTAAATGATTTCAGGTTGTTTAAATATCATCTTTAGCAAAGAGCAGCGTCACCTTCATTAGTAAAGCCTCTACAGAAATAAAAGAGGCTGTGACTAATGAGGCTCTGGAGCTTTCCTGATTTGACACATTTCAGTCAATTGCTCTCTTGATAACCTCACTGTGACTGTGGTTGAACATTTTATTAAGCCGTCCTCCTTCAGTCTAGCTTCGAAAGCTTTTCTTTTAAAAACATCCCCCGTGAGATTCTTGAAGTTGATGGTGTTCCTGCTCAGTCAAACTCCTCCAGTCCAGGAGGGAAGGTGTTATCTGTTCTTCTTCTTCTCTTTTTTGCTTTTGCTCGTGGAGCTGTGAGGCGCGCTCGCAGGCAGTGCGCTGGCGTGGCCGCTGGTCTTCAGATGGTCAAACAGCTTGTTCCTTGTGGGGAACTCGTTGTTACAGGTATTACAGCAGAGGCTCGCTTCCTTCTGGAGGTGGAGATGGGAATGTGGCATTTAATCAGACAAGAATTAACTTTTATCTTCACATGAAAGCCATGTTTTTAACAAAAGTACGATTTTCATGTAGGTCTACAAAAACAGCTACTGTGTATCCTAAAGGTAGTTATTGCAAAGTACGAAATATAACACAAAAAGGTCATTCTGAACTACATCAAATGGTTCCATTTCAAAGAGTTTACTTGAACGGCTTCCTAGATATATGAATATACAACTCTGAAACACTTCATGTAAACAAAGTGCTCAGCTGAATTGGCTGAAAACCACGTGGAAGCTTCAGTCACAAGTAGGGATGCACGCTATTATCGGCATGGATTTTTGGCCGATATACCCATGGTAAAAATTATTTAACCGATACAAATATATTTTTTTCCTAGACCTACTTACAGAGACTACATAGCTTTCTCTGCTGTAGAAATAAAATACTACATTATTCTGCATGGTCGTTGTCAATTTGGCCTGTTACCAAATGCAGATGCCTAAAAGGGGACTGAATATGATGTAACACTTCTTTATATTGATGAGTTATATTGATGGAATGGCCAATATTTAACTTTATCACTAATATCGGCCGATACCAATACCAATATTGTGCATCCTAGCCACGAGGTTATCCTTCGTTAGGCTGGCCACAGTTTGTGTTGTTAAACAAATAAAGTGGAATCAGACAAGAACAGAACCAGAGAAGATGTTAAGGTGGAGAAATGAGTGACTCTGCTGATAAACGCAACAGAAGAAAAAGAATGAGTCATCTGTCGCGCATAAATTAAAAAGATCGAGGACAGCGGAGCGCCGCAAAGACAGAGCCGGGAATCCAAACACGTTATTTTGAAGTTGCAGAAGTTCTGATAAAACAGCAACTGCAACATTTTTATAACATCGTTTATAACTTAAACAAATTTGTCTCGTTTATATTTTCCAGAAACACTGGTGAAAGGCACCCCATTTAATTTAGATTGTTCTAAAAAAAACAACAAAAAAAACTTGTTTGTATACTTTATTCAGCAAATCTGAGCATAAATATGAAACAAAAAAAATGATGCTACCTTTCCCAGGTATCGATCTTCTAGGTAGACAGACGCATGTGGTAGCTGGCACACATTCACAAATGTGACTTTTTTTAACTTCATAAGTTTGTTTACCGTCTTTATGACATTGCAATGAGTACCTTTAAAGTAGTAAACTTAAAACAAATAAGATACTTTCTTATTTTATGGTCTCAGTAATTTGATCATACAGACCTCAGGAAACTGTTCAGTGTGGGACTTGACGTTCTTTGATTTGTCTTTTCCTCCTCCCTTTTTTCCTTTGGTCTTCCCGGAGCTGCAGAGGGAACATTTATGCAACACATAAAAAACATAATCTAATTGTAAAATCACAGCATACACCACACTGCATGGTTCAAACCTTGTATTACTGCTGAGCGATAAAGCGAGAGTCCTGTCTTTCTTACTAATCATCAACATAACACGCTAAATAACAACTCAAGTTTCCTGTTTTGACTTCTTTTAATGACAGTTTTCATTTCATTTTTATTCAAACGTGTGCAAGGGTTTGAAAAATACCTGCACAGCCAAAAGTCGTAATCTCTGGTTGTGTTCATTTGTTGTTGTTTTGAAGGGGAGAGAACAGAAACCTTATCTTAAACCAAGCAGATGGATCGGATAATCAAACAGACTTTCCAAACTTATTTTAGCTTTCGTTCCATCTCGAAATGTTTCTCTTTTTTCCCATGTACAAACATCCTTTTCAGACTGGAATTAAAAGTATCTTTCCCAAACAGAACGTTAAGACTGTAAAACCTTGTACCGACAGCACCATGTGCACTTGAAGGACACGTTCTTTACAGGCACAGGGGATTGCCAACAAAAGGAAGAGGTGCTCCACACCTGCACACTCTGAATCAAATCTGTCAATAGAAAGTTGAAAATGTGCACGTTTTCAAGCTGGTATAAAGAGCTTTAAGTGGCAAAGATTTATGTCCCACTGAAGCTTAGAGACTGAATGATGCAAAGTGTAACACCGGCTCACTTTGCATGAATATTGGTGAGACACGAACTCAAACGATGATGCAGTGCTGCAAAACAACCTGCTGCTTGTATCTGATCAGAATGCTCCATAAAGACAGCAACAACGACAAAAAGCACCTTCAAGGTTAACTAGAGAAATTACATTTCCTGTGAAAATGCAGTGTGAATGCTTATTAGAGAACTTGCTGAAAAACAGCTGAAATAAGCTAGAAAACATTCTGAAATGAAGCTGAAATGGAAGAACTAGCCTAAATTAGCAGAAGAAAGCTGAAAGAACATATTTGCTCAATTATATATATATATATATATATATATATATATATATATATATTAATATTTGCTCAATAAGCAGAAATGAGAACAAAAGGAAATTTGCAACCCAAAAAAAGGCTGAAATTAGAAAAAATAGTAGCTTAAAAGGTAAAAAGAAGCCTAAACTATCAGAAGGAAGCAGAAAAAAATGAAATGAGCTGAAAAAAATCTGGAATTAGCTGAAAAAGCTAAAATTAGCACAAAAAAGCTAAATAGTAGCTGAAATGAGCATAACAAGCTGAAATTAACAGAAATAATGTATTAGGCTGAAAGTAACAGAAATTAAAAGAAAAAACAACCTGAATTTATCTGAAAACAGCTGAAATTAGCTAAAAAATGCTAAAAAGATAGCTGAAAAGGTAGAACAAGCTTACATTAGCAGAAGAAAGAACATGTTTGTCCATTTAGGCTTAAAGAAGCAGAAATGAGCACAAAGAAGTGGATATTTTCTGAAAAAAAGCTGAAATTAGCATAAAACAGCTTAAAAGTTGCTAAAAAAGCAGATAGAAGCTCAAATTACCAGAAGAAAGTGGAGAGCACATTTTTGCTAAATTAGTCTGAAAAAATTGAGTGCAAAACATCTAGAATTAGCTAAAATAACTAAAGTTAGCATAAAAACAGCTAAATAGTAGCTGAAATAGCAGAAGAAGCTGAAACTTGCATAGATAAGCTGAAATTAGCAGGAAGAAGTTAGAAGAAGCACAAGAATGTTATAGTTAGCAGTAATAATCTCACAGGATCACAAAATAGATGAAAAAAAAAAACAGCTGAAAGTAGCTGAAAAGTGTAAATTTGCATAAGGAAGCTGAAAGAAGCTGAAGCAGAACAAAATGTGAAATGAGCAGTAAAAGGCTGTAAACAGATCTAAAGAAATGAAGGATGTAAAATGAGCTCAACTCATTTTCTACGAGAGAAAAAAATGGCAGAAAAGGCTAAATATTTCCAAAAGCTAAAGTTGCACCAATACTAAAAGTCCTAGCACCCTTCTCCTGAACAAGCTGAACGTTTTGATACGTGATTTGTTGAAATAGCACAAAAAGTGTGGAACAAGAAAGATGCTGAAAAACGTATGGAAGAAAAATGGATCACAACAGTGTGAATGCTTCGTAAACGTTCACAAAATAAATCGCTCACTGTTGCTACAGAAAACTAACTCTGAAACACAGGTTCAAAAATACAAGGTTGAGTCTTAAAGTGCTTTTGTGGAAGAACGACATCAACTTCAAACCTCACTTTACAAATTAAAAAAACTAGACTGACCCTTTGACTTCTGCAGGAGGAACGTCCTCCTGATTCTCGGGCCCTGTGGGGTCTTCAGATTTTTCATGAAGATGGTCTTCGTCGCAGGTGGTTTGTGTTGGTTTGTCCTCCTCCTCCTCAGCAACACTTTGCTATGCAAGAGGCGAGCACGAGCAGAAAAGTTCATGAAACTGACACAAAACTAAGACTACGCGCTAAAAACCGAAGGGGGGGATCACTCACTTGTGCTACTTTTTGCTGCTTCTTTTTTCTTTTTTGCTTTTTGGACAACCTGAGGGGGTGAAGAGAAAGACAAGTAAAAATAAATCATTTTATTAATTATGATGAGTCACAAAGCTCTAACTGCCATGACGACCAGGTCAAATTAAGAAATTTGGCTGTGTTTGAACCATTCATTCACTTTATACTCTTCCATATACAGTAAATACAAAAAGTATTCACCCTATTGGATATGTTGTGCTTTTATTGCTGTCAAAAATGTTGAAGAAAATTCACATTTCTTTTTGTAGCGTACATTAGTCAAGATTTAATTAGGGTTTTCTTCAACAGCGTCTTTCTGTTTGCCTCAACCGTAAAGCTTGGACTGGTGGAGAACTCGGGCAACAGTTGTTGTATGCTCAGTCTCTTCCTTATGTGAAGCTGAAGCTTGGACCTCCTTGAGAGAGGTCCCGGGTGTCTTGGTGGTTTCTGTCACCATTCTCTTCATTCATGATGTAGTGCCCTGGACTTTATCTTTTCGTACAATAGTTGTGTATAGAACTTGCACTTCAGTAAAATGACCATAATCAGTGTCCTGAGCCGACACAGCAGGCTAATCAAGGCTAATGCTAAACTCTGCAGCTCATTACTGAGATTCTTATTAGACTTGGTAAAAATGACTTTAAATTTCTAAATATCTCTAACGTGGCTCAACTCCTCTGCCTGCGCTGTGAGAAGTGATTCAAATTGCAAACTGAAAACAACATGTTGAAGTCTAAATATAAAAATGTTTTCAAGATAAGTTGAAAATCACAACGTAAATATTGCAGGATTTTTTTTATTATTTTTTAACGAACCACCACTTTAAAATCAGTTACTATGTTTAACAATATGTGTGCGCAATTTTATTTTAAATTTCACTATAATCATTCATTCATTCAACCTTTATTTATACAGGCTAGTCTCACTGAGCCTCGAGGACTCATTTACAAGAGAGACCTGTTTTTTAACAAAGAATGATGACAACAGTAGACAATCATAAAAAGCATATTAATTGAAAAAAAAAGGGAAATTATATATATTTTTTAAATGAAGCATATAAATGATGCATCAACTACATATATCTGACCTACATTATCTATGTAGATTGTGAAGAGGGTGGGTCCTAAGACTGAGCCTTGTGGTACACCATTGTTAACAGTTAGATAATTGGAAGAAGTACCATTATTGACAAGACAAAAGCAGTTTGTTGAAGGTACTTGTGCAGTTACAGCTGCAGTTTGTGGTTGTGTAAACACTTTAAAAGTGTAAGATACACTCAACAAAAATAGAAACTCAGCACTTTTGTTTTTGCTCCCATTTTTCAGAAGCTGAAATCAAAGATCCAAGACTTTTTCTATGCACACAATAAGCCTTTCTCTCATATTGTTCACAAATTTGTGTAAATTCATTTTAGAGTGGCCTTTTATTGTGGTCAGCCTAAGGCACACCTGTGCAATAATCGTGTTGTCATCAGCACCTTGATACACCACACCTGTGAGGTGGATGGAATATCTTGGCAAAGGAGAAGTGCTCACTAACACAGATTTACACAAATTTGCGAACAATGTTTAGGAGAAAAAGGCCTGTTGTGTACATCGAAAATAGTCTTCGATCTTTAGAGTTAAATTTGTGAAAAATGGAAGCAAAAACAAAAGTGCTGCGTTTATAATTTTGTTCTGTAAATGAATTTCGTGTCAGTGTTGAGGAGACAAATCTTCAAGTTCACAACAAAGAACAGTGAAATTATGTTGTTTATCACTTCAGATTCAGAAGTGCTGGCGTTTATTTTTGAGACACCTGACTGTGAATACTTGGTGTATAATTATGAAGTACGCCGAGCTCAAGTAGTGTTCGAAATACCCTATATCATCTATTATATAGTAATCATGGTGTACTGAGTGAGTGAACAATTTAAACACAGCTATTTTTTTATTACTAATTTACTTTACTTTTGCCTTGGCTTTTCTTCATCCTCCTCTTCTTCATCATCCTCCAGCCCTTCATGTACATTCTCCCCATTCTTTCCATCCACGCTCAAACCAAGCGAGTCCTCCTCTTCTTCCAGCTGTTGCCGTAGCAACACCACCATCTCTCGGTGCTTTTTGGACTTTTCATGGTTTTTCATACTGTGAAGGAGAAAAACGAAGAAGCAATGAAACATCTGTGAAATAAGTACAGGAAAAAAAAAACGTTTATGGAAATACATAATCAGTGAAAAACATGTTTTGTGATTTATATTTAAAAATGTTCTATAGTCGTTTTACCCATGAGGATAAAATGTCAGTACAAATACTTGATTTTCAATGACTGCAATGAACTTTTCACAATGAAGTCAAACTGAAAAACTAGAATCTGCTATGAAGCTTTAAATATTGGAGAAAATTAAATAACTGTTCTGAAAGAAATCAGAGAATTTTGTAAAATAATTTGTGTTTCAAACCTTCAAACTGGTGAATTTAGACAAATAGCACATTGTCAGGACACAAACTGGTTGATACATTTCAACAGAACTGATTTTTTTTCCCCACTTCTCCCATTTATAGACGATCCTTTCACGCAGCTCAACCTTTCTAGCTTTTACAGTAATATCTGTTATTTGCTTCTGCTCCCCTCTACGTTCCTCTTTCTTTCTGCAGAGACATGCCCACCCGCAGAGAGGTAAAAGTGAGAAAACAATACCTGAGTGAGGCAAACCAGCATGACTGTCGCCAAAAGAAAAAAGTTGAGAGAAGAAACTGGTTTCTATCTAAAGACTGGATGGACTCCCATTAATGGCTAAATCGCTGTAAACTGAATTAGCATGCAGGTCCAAAGGGCAAAACAGTGAAGTAGTGTGTGTGTGTGGGTGGGGGGGGGGGGGGGGGGGGGGGTGCTGTTTTATAAACTCACGCTTTATCTGATTTGAAGGATTTATCACAAGCTGGGCAGTAGAGATCATCATAACACTCAATCAGGTCGTCAGGCTGCTCTGTGCCTGCAGATGAATATTCATGCACAGAATAAAAAATTAATGAAACAATAAATCCAAACACAAATAAGTCATTGTTTATTTTTAACACCACGTTTGCATAAATACAATGTTAAAAGCTTGGAAGTACACTGATCAGAAGGCACTAAAATTAATAATAATATCTGATCTACTTATCTATAAATTAAGTCTTTGCATATAGAAAGTAGGAAGGACATCAGTCTCCTGAAGGATCGTTCAGTAAAAAAAAAAAAAAAGAAAACATAAACTTAAGATTGTTTTATTTTGCACATGATTTGCCTTTTGACATTTTGGCAGATATTCATTCTTTTAGCTGTGCAAGCTTTAAGTTTTGTTCCTCTTTTGCCAGAAAATTTCACATTTAAGGACCGTTTGATCATTCAGTTCAAACTGGCAGCGATGCTTATTAAATAAATAAAAAGCATGGGTTAGAAATGCATTGATCAACATGTACGCCAGCTTTTATTTTTATATTGTTTCACAGTTACTTTCCAGAGCCAAAAACATGTCAAAACTGCTTTTTTAATCTTTTGTTTTTCTACAACGGGGCTGTTCGTCGTCCTCGTCATGTCGTCTTTTGTTGTCCTGGTTGACATTTGGAGCACCTCGTCAAGAAGGCCATAAATGAGGCTTCTGGGATTAGCATGGTATTGATAATTAGGTAACTTTTTGTCCGTTCCGTTTTCAATCCATTTTTCTTTTTACCTCCATCTTCACTGTTTCGCTCCTGTGCATCCATTTCCACCTCGTCTTCCTCACTCTCAGTTGCATCTCCGAACTCCTCTCCGTACTGAGCTTCGATCTGCTGCAGCTCCTTCTCTAGCTCAGACATGGCTGCCCAGCTCTGCTCTTGGTACTCCTCTGCCAGTCTGGAATTACAAACAGCATCCAGTGAGTAGAAGAAGGAAAGAAGTGCAAACCGGCTGCATGTGTCCGAACACATAAACCTCTGCTAACTTGGCCTGTTTGAGCTTCTGCTGCCGTCTAATCTCCTCGGTCTTCTTGACCTTCTCGGCGTTCTGCTCCTCCACCAGCTTCCTGTGGGCCTGCACGCGGCGGTCGCGCTTACGAACGAAAGCCGCCAACTGGCGCACAAGCTCGTTGCGCTCTTTTCGAGCCTTGTCTCTGGTCTTCTTGTTCTCCTTCTCCATGGCCCTTTTCTCCCAACGGTTGGAGGCTTGTCTCGTGTCATATTCCTCCTTCCAAGCAAAGTTTTTGCGAGTGCAGAAGCTCTGCCAGTGGGCGTAAAACTCGTGCACTACCTGAAAAATGGAAACAGGTGTTGGGTATAAACACAAACAGTTCAGTCTTGACTGGAGTTGCTTTATTCCAACTGAACTCAGTCAAAACTTCTCATGTCGTGAATCATTGGTTTGACATGGAGACGGACATTTTAAGCGTGTCTGGAGCTTACCGTATCGTAATCACTCTGAGAGTCTCCAAAGGGAGGAAACTCCTCTTCCTCTTCCTCATCGTCCATCCTGCTGTGCTCCATCTCCTCCTTAACAATGGACTCGAAGAGGTTCCTGTAAACTGTGTAAAAGCCCTGGGGAGAGAAAATGAAAGGAACAGCGAATTAGAAAATCAGTGTTCTGAGAGGCACCAAGAATTTCCTTTCCCACAGTTTAATGGCACTGCCAGCCGAAACATGAACCGATGCTGATGAGGCTGAAATCACACACGAGTTAGTGCTTCTGTCACACACTCAGAATAAGACTTCAGTGCTGTAACCTGATTTCTAGACAACTGAAAAGCCATATAGAAGATGAGTTTAGACGTCTTTAACAAAAAGAGAAGATCCACAGTACTGAAAGCACCTTCGACTGTACATCAAAGATACATGTGACCAACCTGATGTAACCGGACTCCATGTTTGCTCAGAGTCTTAGTCACGACAGCCTCACCCTGATGTATACTAGGCCTGTCACAATAACAAATTTTGCTGGGCGATTAATTGTCTGAGAAATTATTGCGATAAATGATAATATTGTTCGAAATTTGACAATAATTAGTAATTATTATCAAATTTAAGAAGAAATATTTATTAATTTGTTATGCGTGTAGTATGTTTTTCCTAGCACCAGATGGCAGTATAAGACTGCTTGAACCGAAGGATGGATAGTGAGGGAGCAAGCAGCGTGTCTCTAAGAAAAATGGGAGGGAGGCCCCTTGACGTGACATGGGCTGTCTCTCTTCAGTTCTCAAAATGGCGGACACTTGGTGTGGTTTGAGCGCTTTAGCATTTTTCACACAAAGCTTTTAATTATTAAAAAAAAATCTGTAAACAAGTTCTCAGCTTCTTTTTGCAGAGGAAAAACTTTTTACACGAAGTCACGGGTTTTAACCGTGAATTTTGGAGCTTCGACAAGACGGAGGTTTTTTCCCCGAGGTCGGCCTGTTAGCTTAGCTCGTAGCTTAGCTTCTCAACTTAGTTGCTTTTAACGATCCAAAAACGCAATTTTGGATCGTTAAAATAGATTTTAAAGAGAAAAGAGAAAGAGAGGGATCAGTGAAGAGCACCGGAGTTGAGCTTTTTGTCATCCAGTGTCTTCAGTAGAAAAAGCCACAAAGAAACAAAGCCGATAAATGAAAAGGAGGTCGATAATTTTCATTTATCATGTGATTAATTGATTTATTGTTTATCGCGACAGGCCTAATCTATACCCACATTTATGCTGCTATGTACGTCATACAGGTCAGTCAAATTAACATGAGGCTGTATTCAGAAGAACTTTAGAGTAAGGCAAATGCAAATTAAAGTCCTTGCTGTCCTTGAAGGCATGCATATTCCTCACAACTGTTCATGCTAGAGTTTTAAACTGAGATCATCTCATGTTGAGAAATACCAGAAGCTGTTTTGGTCCAACATTGAAAATAACAAAATGTACAATTTTGTGCGATACTGCGAGATGTGTATTTGTTGGGAACAACCCTCAGCTACTATCACGTGAAATGTTTGCTTATCAGTAAAGTTGACTGACTTATTGCCATTTCTGTGAAGGACAGTTAGCTCTGACAGCCATCTTGAATTGTGCTGACACTAAAAAGTAACGAGTTGTAGATATTTAATGAATACCTGTACTTTTTGCATGTTTCATTACAATTTTGGGGAAAGCACTTTCGCTGTCTACGTTCACCTTTCAGCGGCGGGCAATAATCAAATGAGAAGTTGGGCCATTTTTCTTAAAGACTGAAACAAAAAGTTGCTGGTTTATTAGTTGGGGCTTTGCTGTGTGGCATTTACATGTTCTTCCTGCGCCTTAATGTGTTCTCGCTGTGGCTTCCTCCTAAAACAATGCAAGTATGAATATGAGCATGTGAGGCTCAAACTGTTGATATCATTTGTCTCGGTGTTTGTCATGAACTGGAAACCTGCCAAATGTGCCCAAAAGGGTTTTGAAAACAATAGATTTCTCAACAAACCTGGACTTGCCCCCTGCTGGTCATTATGAAGAATGCAGGTTGGTGTTGGTTGTTTCCAAACCATATCAGACCCAGAGGTTACTATCCAGGAGATATTTCTATTGGAGGCACTTGTTGGGGTTTATTATCCCAATTTTTATGCATCATAAGTATATCCTGAATGAGGAGTTTTATCTAAGATTATCTATTTTGATTTCATTCAGTTTTGTGTGATTATGAGAGTTTTTGCAAACGATACTGGGATTTACCTTGAAAGCGTAACACGCAGATAGGAATCTCAGAGTTTTCAGCTAATTCAGACCATCTTTCATCCCCATTTTATCCCTTTAATCATATTCCTCTACAATAATCCAACATAAACAGGCTGACTCATTTGTTAATTTTCCGCACCACAGTTAAGATTATTATCCATAAGCATCAGGAAAACATTCGATCAAGCCATGTGCAACGTGAGCTTAAGCCACATTTACATCAGCACCATTCTGTTCCATCCACTGAGGGTAAACAGACACTAAGGTGCAACTCAATGAATGCCTCCAGGCAAGAACTCCAACAAAGTCGTCAATTTCCCTTATTTTTCCCACCTAAACGAGATGGTTTAATGGAACTGCACGCACTTACAAAACATTATTCCCGCAGCCATGGCTACAAGTACACAAACCTTCTCGTCATCGCCGTATCCAGAGTAACAGGTGACTGTGAAAAACTGCAGCAGGTCAATGCTGTCGTCTTCATAATCCCCACTCAGCCCTCCTTTCAGCAGAGCCTCCCTGTGATTGTCATACCTGGCACAAAGAAAGAGAAACATCAGTAATACTTAGAGAAATACTGCTGATTAGTACTCTATTATCAGGAGGAGATGGACACACACCAGGCTCTCTCCTGTGGATCGCTCAGGACGTCATAAGCTGCTTGAATCAGCTTGAACTGCTCCGCTGCCTCCTCAGCGCTTTCCAAGTTTTTATCTACAAAAGAAAAGCCACAGAAGACTAATAAATACACTGAACTTAGCCGGGTCTTCAAAAAGGTTGGGCCGCACGCTGAGGCACAGATGAAGAGTCAAGTGTGAAGATTAGAGATAAGTCAAGTCAAGTCAAGTCATCTTTATTTGTAGAGCACAATTTAAAACAGATAAACTGTTATCAAAGTGCAAAGATAAGTCGCACCAAAATAGAGCAGCTTGTAGCTGCTTCTAATTTTGCATTATTTTGTTTTGATTTGTGACTTTTCCATCATTTGTTTTGCCTGAATTACTTGAAACAGAACGAGAATTATTAGAAATATAAAAAGTAGCGTAAGGTGTGTTTCTATTTTTACAAGACCCTGGGTCTTTTATCGAGACCTTTTCATCACCACATTTCAAACTCTGTAAACAATGTTGTAGTTTGTGCATCGTCTAACTTCAGTGCTTTTACTGCAATGGATCACCTTTTTTTTTGTGTGTGTGTAAAATAAAACTAAGCTACACGCACTGATAACGAAGCATTTACTTTGAAGAAGAGACACAGCCCATGTTAGAATCATTAGTTTGCAAAAATCGTTTGCTAATATGCCAAAATAACAGTAAAGTTATATAATCTCACAGTCGGAAACAGTGGATGCGCTGGATTAATGTCAAGAGATCATCAGATTATCTTTGCCCCTGACGTGATTTGTTCAGTCATCCAGAACTAAACATCACAAATCAATCAAAAGAAAGAAAGAACAAAACAGTCAATACGGTCCGTCTGTCAGCAAATCATTTCATGAACCATAACTTTAATAAAACGTTCAGAAATTTATCAATGAACGAAAATCTACATGTGACTGGTGAAGTTCATTTTAGGCTGGATACTGAATATCCGAGCTCCGACATCCGAGAGTCTTCCTGTCGTTTGACCTGATGCAGACATGGCTGCCCTCAGTCTGCTCCCTCCTGAACCAGGTGGTTCACTTAGGGACCGTCAATAAATTATCAAACAAAACACTCGAGAAACAAAAGCAAGTAAACACCCTATGTGTAAAAGCAAAGGATCATTACTGTATAAACTTTTTTTATATATACTTTAACAGATCCAGTGTGACGACAGTGACTGATGGTTTCATGTCCAGTGCCTAAACCCAACTTGTACAGATTATGAAAAAGTGAAGAAAGGAACCTGTGAGGTTCAACTGTGTGATTAAAGTGCAATATCTGACACCAAAATCAGAGAAAAGTGGGGATGTCTTACATGTTCAGGTTAGTAAAAAATAAACATTGACTTTTTAGCAATAAGACATATAGAAAAATCACTTTTTTTTTTTTCAAATTTATCATTATATACAATAAAATCAAGAACAAAATTACCGGTACCGTCTTAGTCTTTAGTCTAGACACATAATTCAACATGGACAAGGCATCACTCTTGTAAATGAGTCCCCAAGGCTCCATGGATAAATGTATAAATAAAGGTTGAATGAATCACAAGGCCATGTTATATGAAAGTTATTGACAAAAAAAAACCATTGAAATTTCAAAATGCATTAAAATCAAAATTAGTGTGTCTCATCTGTCTGTTCTAGTCAAGTAATTTAACATTTTGTCTTAGTGGGTCACATGGCAAGAAAGCTATTAAAAATATATATTTTTATTGAAAAATGTATTTAAAATTACAAAATACATTAAAATCAGACAAAAATGAGCACATCTCATCTGTCCAGTCTAGTAGAACAATTTAACGATTAGTTTTGGGTCAGTGGGTCACGTGACATAAAAGCTATTAATTGTTTCTCAAGAGTTGCTCTCAGACTGCAGGCTTACTTGCGGTTCCAAGAGTCTCCACAGGCAGAATGGGAGTTAGAGCTTTCAGTTATCAGGCTCCTCTCTTGTGGAACCAACTTCCAGTTTCTGAGGCTGACACATTGTCCAGTTTTAAGACTGGGTTTCCTTTTTGATAAATCCCATAATTAGTGTTGGCTTGTTATGCTGCCTTAAGCTTAAACTACTAAAGGACAAATTCACCTCATTTCCTTAAATAAATTAACATTGAATAGTTTTCATTTGATACTATTTCTATCTTAACATGTGATTCTTGACCTGCCATTGTGTATCTGTTCCTACCAAACCCAGCCGGTCGAAGCAGATGGCCGCTTGTCCTGAGCCTGGTTCTGCTTTTAATTGTTCTTCTCAATTTGTATGCTTTTTATGATTGTCCACTGTTGTCATCACTCTTTGTTAAAATCAGGTCCCTCTTGTAAATGAGTCCCCGAGGCTCAATGGGATTAACCTGTATAAATAAAGGCTGAATGAAAAATAAAGGTGTCTTCCTCATGCGGGAGTTTTTCCTTTCCACTGTCGCCTTCATGCTTACTCAAGATGAGATTTCTGTGATGGAGCTAAATTCAAAGCAGTCTGCTCCTCAGCTAAATAATGTGAACTTGTTATTTTTATACATGAATGTTTCTGTTCAGTGCCCTGAGACGACTACTGTTGTGACTTGGTGCTGTATAAATAAACTGAACTGAATTGAGTGTTTGATTTGGTCATTTATTGACGGTCCCCAAGCGAGTGAGCGACCCACCTGGGGTCAGACTGAGGGCAACAAAATGAACACAACTTATTCAACATTAGACTATGCGATTAAAAAAAATTACAGGATAGTAGTCAAGGATCATCCTTAACCTCTGAGCGTTAAAACATTTGACCAGCTAAAACTGTGGCAGCCATCTTTCATTAAAGCTGTCACTAAAGGCTGCGGGCGACATGCATTTCATTAAGGAATGTTAGCCTTTTTGTCCAGTAGATTTGAGATACATATTTTGTTGTGTAATTTTGTAATTCATTCATTCAACCTTTATTTATACAGTTTGAATGAATGAATTACAACATTACACAACAAGATATGCATGTTTATAACTTAGTAAATAGAGCCTTTAAATTGTTTTGGACAGAAAGATGAATTTATGAACTTTGAGTCCATCTCAGCCTGATTTAAAACCCTTAAAATTGGAATGTTATCATAATTCATTCCATGTCACCCATTACATCTGTTGCACAAGTTGCTCTTTTCGATCAATTTCGTTACCATTTAGCAAGCTCATGCTTCAACAATCACAACTTACTTACCTGGGTGCCATTTCAAAGCTAGTTTCCTATAAGCTTTCTTCAGATCATCGTCCCCAGCGTCTCGTTTCACGCCTAACGCTTCATAGTGGCACTTCATTGCCTTCTTGACCGGGCACTAGGATTAAACAGAAGTACTCACGTTTTCCCACACGACACACAATGTTAGCCTTTAGCTAACAACCGGCTAGCGTCCCTACACCAGAAAAAACATTCCAACGTTTTGTATGTTGACAACAGCTTAATCATTTGGGGGATTTGTTTACATAATAAAACTGCAAAACACTGTTTTTCGACCACAGAGAGACTTAAATTACTTTAGCTGGTTACTTGAAATCAAATAAAAACACATATATGGATCATCGCATGTCGCTAAATCTCGCGAGAATTCAAAGTCTCGCTCCAAAAACAACTTCCGCTGCAGCTCTTTAGTGCCCTCTAGAGTTAATATTGAGAATCGAAGGGGTTTGTATTTTTTATATATTTATTTATTTTACGTGGCGATATGTTTGAGTTAATTTTGTTTTCTTGAGAAATTATCAGATTTGTTGCTTGATCTACCTTTTTTTTACTCAATTAATCTAATAATGACAGATTTCATTTCATTTATTTGCTTTTCTTTCAGCTTTTTGATTTATCATTTATGCAACATCATCTTTATGTTATTGTTGCAATCGGTTATCCGTGATATCAGGAAGATGTATGTACTGTGTAAGATTTATAGAACTGTAAAAAAAAAGTAGTTAAACTTTTTTCTCCAATAAAACCAGACATATCAATAATTTTGAATAAACATTTCCAAACAATTCTGTTTCGTCTTCGTTGAGTTATTTAACCCATAAATTATTCAAGCACAAAAAAACAACTTCTGTAAAAAACTTTTTGCATTTTTTCACTTACAATTTGTTGCGAAGTCTGCATATGTTGCAGCTGAAATAAATATTGCCCCACAACTGTGCTGCAGACTGTGGTACTAATGTTGCACAAGTTTGATCAAATATTATTTAAAAAAAATCACATTTCATATTATGTTAAAAGAGAATAAATATTTTTTTTTCTTATGCTGCATCACGTTTACTTTAAAACATATGGGCCAGCTGTTGCAGTATCACCTCCCCGCCACTAGGGGTGATCTCGCTTTACTCGCTGGTAAAGCAAATCTCGCGTAATCTCAACAAGTTACGCGATATTTGCTTTCACTCGCCTCAACTATGGCGGCATCCAAAAGAAAACGTGGAGGAGAGGGATCGTTTCACTTAAAGCCAAAAAAGGGTAAAATTGTTGTAGACGACAGCAAAACACAAGAAAATGCCAAACAAGAGACGAAAAATGAAATTACAGTCCCAGCACCGGTTTCAATGGTAAGTGTTTGAGCTTGCTATAAGCTAAGTTAGCTAGCTAGCAGCTGTACCAGTAAACACTGAGGCGTTGATTTGTTTTTTGTTGCTCATTGTTTTTTTTGTTTTTTTTGTTTTGTTTTTTACAAAAAAGGCGTTCATTTGGAATATTGTGATATTAAATGTAAATGAGAATTTCCTGCCTACCTAAGTTTTTAAAACAAGTAGTCAATAACGGTGTTCCTCAAAGTCTGGCAGTAATTAATTTCCATATTATTCCTCTACTTTGCACTAGATATTTAGGAAATCTTGACAAATCTTACTGTGTGAGCGGCAGAAATCACTGAGCCAGGCACCAGTCATTCCTCTGATGGTACTGCAAGAACCATCATTTTTGCTGGTTGCCTATGTGAAAGAGAGTTTTTGGGAACCCCTTGCAAAACAACAATATTGAATTAAGTCAAATAATGCAATTTGAGTTTTAATAAAGTAAAACACCAAGATTTCCTTCCTCCTGTTTTCCTCCTGTTCACAATCCCTGATTAACGTTTTAGCTATACTATACTTTAGCTATATTTATGTATTGTGCAGTCCTGTGAGGATCTTTAGATGATAAAAGTGTTATGAACGTTATCTTCTAATTTGTTATTGTACACTTTGGGGTTGGGTGGTTATTTCTTGGTTGTAAATGAAAATTAACCGTCTGGATAATGAACTCAAGAACAAGTTTTTTATAGTTTAGTTTGATATCATCAGGAGATAATTTCTCCTCAACAGGGCAAATGGACCAACAAGGAAAGAGTTCTCATCTTCTCTTCAAGAGGAATCGACTTCAGAACAAGACACTTAATGCAGGACCTAAGAACCATGATGCCTCATTCAAAAGCAGGTTAGTGTTATGTAGCAGTCCATTACCACATCAACAATTACTGTTAGATGGGAAAATATTGAAATATGACATTATATGTCCAGATACAAAAATGGACAGGAAGGACAAGTTGTTTGTTGTCAATGAGGTGAGTTTGCTTTAATTTTGAGTCATTTTGTATTATCACATGATTCGAACCAGAGCTAGAGATGTGTCTTTTTCAGGTGTGCGACATCAAAAATTGCAACAAATGCATATTTTTTGAGGCTAAAAAGAAGCAGGACCTGTACATGTGGTAAGTGTTTCATCAGTTTGTTACATTATCTAACAGTAGGCTAGTTTGAGGAACGTTGGAAAGCATTACAAATTAAATGAATAAAGTTATTTCTCTGTAGGATCGCCAATAGCCCTCATGGACCGTCTGCAAAGTTTCTGGTACAGAATAGTAAGTTGCTTTGTTCCTTCATGCCTTAGCCACAGAGGATACTTACCTTGTTACAGATAGATAATTTATTCTCTTGTCTGTTCCACAGTTCATACGCTGGCTGAGATCAAAATGACAGGAAACTGCCTGAAAGGATCCAGACCACTGCTCTCATTTGATCCTGTGAGTATCATACAGCCCCTAAAGTCAAAAAGAATTAAATTAAAAAGTTGTCGGTTTATTATATCGTTCATTCAATGTCAAGGAGAGCTTTTTTTGTCAGAAACAAGTGTCTTCAGTTTAGATATGGTCAAAAACACATTTAAAGCCGTTATAGCATAGAAATACAACTGGAGTTTGTGGTGTGGGTTTTTGTCCTATGTGACCCGAGCAGTTGTGTTATTTATTTATTTATTTCCTCTCCCAGAAATTTGACACTGAGCCCCAGTATGCTGTACTGAAAGAGCTCTTCATTCAGGTATGTTTTCGACTGAAATGTGACGCATTAGGAAAATATGCAACAAGAAGAATTAAAATGGATATAACTATCAATAAATCCAGCATTTTGCTTTCCCTCCTGACACAACAAGCCTATTTTTGAGTTATCCATTTTCATTTAAAGCATTTGTGGGGTCTACAAGGCAATGGCAGTCCATTTGATCAACAACATATATTATTATTAAACAGGGGATCTTCTGCTAGATTAACAAGGAACATGTCAACTCATAGCATTTAGATTCTACTGGCTGTATTTTCAGTAAAATGTATAATTAGATCTATTTGTTGCAGACATTTTCCACTCCCCGCTACCATCCTAAGAGTCAGCCTTTTGTGGACCACGTCTTCACATTCACCATCGCAGACAATAGAATATGGTTTAGAAATTACCAGGTAATGTTTCCCAGACTTCACCCTCAGTTTAAGGCTTCAAATATTTGAGAAGGCAAATGTGCATTTGTTCATTTTGTATACTCGTTAAATGTTTTTTGTCCATTCTCTGCATGTTCAGATCATGGAGGAGGATGCTGCTCTGGTGGAGATCGGTCCTCGATTTGTTCTTAACCTCATGAAGATCTTTCAGGGAAGCTTTGGAGGGCCCACTCTCTATGAAAACCCACTCTACCGGTCCCCTAACTTGGTAAAAGTCCTCGCTTGAATTTATGAACTGAAGTTTCTGCCATCAAATCTAATGCTTGTTACATCTGGCATTTCTGCTGACACAGTGGCGTTTGACATCAGTATGAATCTGCTGGCCTGCAAAGCATGACTGAAATATGTAGCTATGAAATCTTGCAGAAACCAGTTGGCTGCAGTCAGGAGGCACTGCAGCTGTTCTTTTTGAAAACTTAACACAAATTCACGCAGAAACACTTAACACAGTTACATTTATGGCACAAGAACAGAATATATGTCTGATTAGACAGCAGTCTTTTACACTCGACCTTCTGCATCACTATATGTATGAAGTTCATAAAGTCAGTTAGAAAATGTAAAAAAAAAAAAAAAAAAGCATCCACAATTGTGTATTTTTGCTTTTCCACCTTCAGCACCGACGAGAGCTCCGGCTGGCAGCGGCAGCTAAAGTGCGAGAGAAGCAGCTGGTGAAAGACCTAAAGAAGATAAAGAAGGCAGAAGTGAAGGTAAACGTGGACGCCGATGTTACAGCTGACGTCTTCCTCACGCCAGCCGAGGAGAAGCCTGTCCACATTCAGACAGAGGCTCCTGAGCCAAAAGTGATGAAGAAGAACAAACGCAAAGCTTTCAAAAGGCAAAGGATGCAGATGGCTCGCAGATAACTGAACGGACTGGATTGATTTGAATGGATGACTTACTGCTGCCATAATTTATCTCTGATATCCTTAGACAAGTCAAGCTTTCAGCTTCTGGTTGGCTTTTTGGAAAACACACTTTGTGTTGCCATAATATGAAAACTGACTCGTATTTTTCAGACGATAAGGCGCATTAAGTTAAAACAGATAAGTCAAACTTTATTCAACTCATTCACAATAAAAACATAAAATCATTTCGAGGTCAGTAAGCACAACCAGAGTTAACACATAAAGTGCACCTGATTATAAGACTCTGTCCATTTTTGAGAAAATTTAAAGGATTTTAAGTGCAACTTGTTGTCTGAAAAATATTTCTATTTTTTCATGAGAAAGTGCTGATAGTAACTGGACATATAACGAAACTACAACAATAAATATAAAACTTTTTAGTAAAAGTTGTGTTAAAATTTGAGTTTCATTACAGTTGTTTTGTATTTCATGGAAATAAAAAGATTCAAAATGTTGTGTATACTTCAAAACTAACAAGTGTCCATGTTTTCTGTGTACAAACTCAAAAAGACTAATAAAACATTTTAAATTAACAACTGGGTTGCTGTAACAACACAATAACAACAACCACACCTTTTCTAAAAATCAAACCTCAACGTATTCGGTCTGAATAAACTAGACAATTTTTCTGAAACAGTTTATGTAACAATTATTTGAAATATTTATTGCTTATATCTTACGGCTCAACATTTTTCTGGCTGAAATGACCTTAGCATCGTTGAACATTAAGGTCTTTAGGTCGTACTAAATGAGTCCCTATAAGTCTTCATCCATCTCCTCGTCAGGACAGCAGAAATATTCCACAAAGCAGATCTGCCCGTCGTCATTCCTGACCAGGTACTGCAGAGAGAGGAATCCTCTGTTGTCTGTCCTCACAGAGACTTTACAGGACAGAGCCAAGGCTTTGGTGGATGGTTTTAGTAAGGATATCTTGTATCTGTCAGCAGAGAAGAGAAGTGAGACATAAAGCTTAACATGAACAGATGTTATAATTGGCACACATCAGTTTAATAGCAGCAAAGAACAGTACTGATGACTATATCATTTAGACTTATTTTTAAAAAGCATGTTGACTCATTGATTCTTCAAACTTTATTTTTTACAAAACTTTGCACTAAACAACATGCATGTATTGGACAGCTACTGTTTTATAGACTGATGTTTTAATTGAAATAACCAGACTCCAAGCTATTTCTGTATGAAGTTGCGATGATGATGTCCTGTTTTATCAGAGTACTGACACTTGCTTCTCTACAGTGACTGAACTGTTGAGCTGATGACCGCTCTCACCTGTTGGTTTGTGTCTCGTCGCACCGGAACAGCTCCATCATGTCAGAGTCTTTGGAATAATCATAATGGGCACTTCCAGAGTTCCCAAACGTGGACAACCTGAAGAGTTGGATAGAATAAAAACATAGGGTTATAAATAAAAACGTAAAAATCCATTGCAATAAAATGCTGGACAGAACTCAACTTTATCTTTATATTTACAAAAATTTAAAAAAGGATCTGCCTCGGCAGTTCAATTATTGATTACTGGAACTTTAGCTGCGTTGTAGTATACTGGAGAGTGTTTTATTTAGCTCACCTGAAGTACGGCTGGTTGGGTGACATGGTGATCTGTAGCACCTCACTGGTCATGTCTAGTTCAGAAAAGGCTTCTTTCAGACTTTCGGACTGCAAAATTACCTTTGAAAAAAAAAAAAAACCTAAATTTGATTGGAAAACAAATGAATGTGTGAATACTTTTCTGATTATTTTAAATAGCTTACAGCAATTTCTTAATGTATGGCACTTTTACAGAGTGATTATATTTTGGGTTTTCTTTATGATAATAATCCTGCATTAACAAATGTAACAGAGAAGTGAACCTTGTTTGTGACATTGCTGCTGCAAAAATCAAAATCTATCGGTTCTTCTGGTTCTTCTGTGTTAATCTTGCAAACAGTCACTACACCACCCTCCTCCAGGAATAATGTCAGTGGGTAACCATACCCCCTGTAGCACATCCGCAAGGCTGTTGTTATTCCTGCATGATATGAGCAAGATAAAGAATACATAGAACTGCGGTTCGTGTTTATTTATTGTTTTTACTTATAAATTGTTCAATTTGAGTTTTACCTGCAACTGTGCTTCCTCCAAAGATATTCAAGCAGTCAAGCACAACGGTGAGGTTTACTTGAAAAGCAACCAAATCCTCTTTTATTGTGAATTCTTGGAAAATATCAGCCTAGAATAAACACAACTTTTGTAAAGGGTCTTAAACACGACTCATTATTTCTTCCTGCTCTCTAAAGCAACGCCAGACAAACACACCTGGATGAAGGCATTGGCTTGCACACATTTGCAGTCCTCCACAGTGACCTTCAGCCCGTTGGGTGTTGCCGTGAAGATGGCGTGGTCCTTAAAGCTGATGGCTTTCAGAATGTTGGAGAGACTGCGAGCATTATCCAAAGTAGCCACTAAAACGTACTGTTCATCTTCACCTTGAGACTGTGTGGACAGTGGCATTGTAGAACTGAAAAATAAATATTTGAGGCTCTTAAAATATATTTAAGTACTTGTAATAAAAATTTGCATAAACAAATTACCGGTATACCACAAGAATATTTAATTTAATAATACTAAACAAGGGTTTAAGATGGAACGAGAGAAGCACTGTATGTTGTCAACCTTCATGCTGTTTTGCATCACTTTGCGATCATTTGGTGCATCTTGTACGGTTAGCATTTATTTTGAATTCAATCTGTGTCATTTGTCACAAGTTTTCACATCTGTGTGGACATTTTGGAACACATTGCCAACAATATTATTTACTAGTTTGCACTGAATTAGCATTTATTTTCTTTACTGAATATCCTTTTGGTCATTAAACATTTTGCGATCCTAGGACTGATCTTTCTTTTGTTCTGTCTTGGTTCCATCTTTGTTCTGTGATGGTGAGTCAGCCTCCCCGTCCTCACCATCACAGACATCTACACCTCCAGATGCAGGAAGAGGGCCACCTGCATCATGAAGGACCCCACTCATCCAGCACACACACGTTTTGCCCCGCTCCCCTCAGACAGGAGGTTGAGGAGCATTAAGTGTAGAACCACTAGACTGAGGAACAGCTTCTACCCTGAGGCTGTTAGACTCATGAATCTCTAACTAGAATAATCACTGAAAAAATCACATCATGCTGCTGCTGATCTGTTTCATGTTGCTGCTGATCTGCTTCATGTTGCTGCTGATCTGTTTCATGTTGATGTGTTCATTCGTGCTCATCTGCTCACACAGACCCATGTTCGTGCTGCTGTTAGGCATATTTTTTTGTACTACTAGTGCTTACTGTATTTTTAGTTAACACTTTTCTTAGTTCATATCTTAGATCATATTACTGTTTTTCTTTTACATTTTTGTTGGATGTAACTGGGACCCTGTGTGCACAATTTCGTTCCACCACGTGATGTGAATGACAAATAAAGAAACTGACTCTCTGTATTTGTTTTTGTCTGTGTTGGTATGACAAGTGATAGTACACTAAAATAATTAGGGTTTGTACTAAACATCCTTATATTAGTTTTTAATTTAGTTTTGTTTCTTCTAAATTTGTCACTGTATTGTCTGTTTGAATCTTTTGACAATTTTTCTGCGTCACTAAATATTTGTAATCCTTTTATCTACCTTATTGATTGGGACTTGTCATGTTTTTTTTAAATATCATTGCAGTGATTTAATGAATAAATGGAATAAGTATTAGTACATACTACTGCAAACATACATTTCCTTATTTACTCTGGGCTTGTCTCCTTAATTCTAAGTTTTAAACAACAACATTTTGAGTTAGTTTTTTTTTCAATTAAAGTAACTAACTAATATTAATGTTTCACTTTAGCTACAATACAAAGAAAAAATGTTTTACCAAAGAACAGATGCACCGTAAACATGTTAGCTAGGTATGGCGTTGAATAAAAGTATCACGGCAAAGTTTGGTTTGTATTTATGCTAATTCAGTTCCTTTGCACAAAAAGCTACAAAACAGAATCAGAAAAAACCGTCTTCACTCACAAATACGAGGTTCAACCAACAACCCTTGAGATCGAATGTTTTGAAGATGTGCGCCCAGTATAGGACCACTTCCGGTTGCGTCTACTTCCGCTCCGGAAGTTGTACCGCTTTTAGAACGTTCCGTTCCAGCAGAGACATCTCAGAGTCGGAGCACTTCAACAGAAAGTCAAACTTTTTCTCTGCTTCAGCTCTATCCAGCTCTGTCGCTACTGTTTTTGTGACCTGTTATACTAAGGTAAAAACGTGTTTAGGTTTCTCATTGGTCCGCGTTACCGCTACCCGGAAGCTAGCGTTGGCTAGTCGGCTTTCTCGGCCTAACTTGTTTATCTGTAGTACTGTAAATAAGTATGAGGAGTAATAAACAATATATTGCAGGCGTTAGAAATTACTATGTGTAAAACAGTTTTTTTATTGTATTTTTTATGCTTTATAGACTCTCTTAGGTCGACGGAACTACTTGTCAGAGTTTTAAAATTAGCTTCTCTTGTACCCCTTGACCTAGTTACTGTATATGATAGTTTAATATTTAAAAGTGCTT